AGGTCTCCTTGAAAAAGAGTGTGTTGTCATCCGCTAATTGACACCACTCTTGTATTTAGTAAATATTTCATGCTCTAGAGTTTGTATACTTTTTATGACAGTTGTGTTAATATAAATAAAAGCACGCTGTGTAACAAGAAGCAAGAGGTTAAGATAAATTGACAATCCTACCTATTTTTTTTTTATAGATCAAATCAAATAGAGTGTAACCATTTGTAACCATTTTTATATAAGGTACAATAATTGAGTTGTAAACTGACCTTTTCTAACCATTTGAAAATGAATGTGTGTTTAACTGAATCTAAAGCCTTACAGGACTCAACAAAGAAAGTGAAGATATTTTTCAGAATAATTCCAGATGTCTGCTGCTAAGCTGATATTACTTGAAAATATGTCTGCTATTAAGATTACCAGACAAAGATGAATTTTTCTGCAAATATTTCATGACATTCTGTTTCTGCATCCGCTCCAGGAAATCTATTAGGTTTTGGCACTTTATAGTACTAGTGATTTCCTGTAACAGAAACTTTTTTTTACCATATTTTCAAAGGACTAATCTTAGTTGCTTCCAATAAATACTTTTTACCACAAAATTGAGATGTATACAGTGTTATTTCAAGCAGCAAGTATGACCTCTAGCAGTTCCTTTGATAATTTCCTTTTACACAGTCTCCATCTAGTGGAGATGAAGCACAACTACCCATTTTCAGGACCATGAAGCAATGATAAAGTTCAACTATTAAACACACAATGTTCAATGCAACTCTTCTTTTTTGTTTCCTTAAGGTTTTATAAGATTTACATAATTTTAAATATTTTGACTTGTCTTTGCAGGTGAGTTTGGAGAGGTGTGTAGTGGGCACCTGCGTATACCTGGAAGGAAGGATGTTGCTGTTGCAATTAAGACCCTTAAAGGTGGCTACATGGAAGACCAGAGGCGTGAGTTTCTACGCGAGGCTTCCATCATTGGACAGTTCAACAACTCTAACATAATCAGGCTGGAGGGAGTTGTCACGAAAAGTGAGCTCTGTTTTTAAGTTATGTGTCTTTTGTTATGGTTTAAATTCTATTTCTTCAAAGTCAAGAGAAGCGCTTGTGATACAATTATTGGTAATACCCTTTTAACATTTAACACATTTTAAAAAGTTGGACCATCTTTTTTTGTTGTCCATCTATTGCAGTTTTGTTTTGTGCAGTATGGCCAGTATACATATTTCATGTTTTAAAACCAGGTATTTTTTTTAATTTCTTTTACAGGTAGACCAGTAATGATAGTGGTAGAGTACATGGAAAATGGAGCACTTGATGCATTCCTGCGGGTAATCAGTTTATTTTTTGTAATTATTTACACATCTATTTATACATAATCAAACATAATCAATCTTAGTTCTTTTTCTCTTTTCTTTGCATATCTAAACGTCAGACCCGTGAGGGTCAGTTCACTGTGCTCCAGCTGGTTGGCATGCTGCGAGGCATCGCAGTGGGCATGACGTACCTTTCAGACATGGGTTACGTTCACAGGGACTTGGCTGCTCGCAACATTTTGGTGGATGGAAACTTGGTGTGTAAAGTTTCGGACTTTGGCATGTCCAGAGTCCTTGAAGATGACTCTGAGTCAGCTTATACAGCTACTGTGAGTGTGGATAGAGAGAAGAATATAACTGTCAGACAACAGTGTGTGCACAAGTTTAAACATCATTCTTTGCTACTTATTTGCATTAGGGGGGAAAAATACCAATACGCTGGACAGCACCAGAGGCTATTGCTTATGGAAAGTTCTCTTCATCTAGTGACATATGGAGCTATGCCATTGTCATGTGGGAAGTGATGTCATATGGTGAAAGGCCCTACTGGGAAATGTCAAACCAAGATGTAAGTTTTTGGTTACTTAAAAACTAGGAATGCACAATATTGGCATATTTTTGATATCAGCTTTTGCACCAATATAACTCCCCAATACAAAAGGCAAAAAAATGAGGATTATGCCTGCAGTTCAAGCAGGTCACATTCAACCATCTGATGCACGACTCGGCTACAGAAGAGATGCTGAATTAAAATGTTGGAGGTGTGGAGGAATTATAAAGTTTCAGAAAAGCCAAGCTGCTATTTGCAATGACTGCACAGATAAAGAGAGCAAAAACTGCATAGTAACTGTATGTAGGTCTACGGTTGAGTTTTAAAATATCAGCAGATTAGACTGTAGAAAAATTCCAATACTGTACATTCCTGATTAAAACCATAAATATTTCAGGATCTTTAATTTCTGTTTATGTTTGCTTACATTTCTCCAAGGTTATCTTATCTATTGAAGAAGGCTACCGCCTACCAGCACCAATTGGCTGCCCAGTGACCCTACACCAGTTGATGCTGCACTGCTGGCAGAAGGAGTCAAGCCAACGCCCAAGCTTTACCGATGTGCTATCTTTCCTTGACAAACTCATTATTAATCCCAGTAGTATGTTGACCCTGGTCAATGACGCTCTAAGGTATTTCTCAAGTCCTTATGTGTTCATGACTGTTTAAACCACAAAAAAGGCAACATCTTAGAAACATGAAAATCAATCTTTTTCCAAAAGTATAGTTAGTTATTTTCCTATAATCTTACCTTCTTATCCCGTCATCATAAAAAAAATGTTGTTAGATTTATGCGAAGGCAATTATAAACATCCCATGCCTCTTATTTCAAGCAAAGTCCAGCTTAATTTTAGAAAAATGTTTTTTCACTATTAACTAGCCAAATAGAATCAGTTATCCACTTTAATTTCATGCTAGCAGAACGTCCTGTATCAGTTAACCAGCTGTTTGTGATCACAGCTTTCAAGACTCCCCGGAGGAGATGCCAGACTACCCTCTTTTCATCTCTATCGGCGATTGGCTGGACTCCATCAAAATGAGCCAATATAAGAGCAACTTCCTGGCAGCAGGATACACTACCCTGGATTCTATTGCCACCATGAGTATAGAGTGAGTGGAGATAAATATATAGAGTGCTGATATGCAAAGATAGTGTAACATAATGTGCCTTAAACAAAATTAGAAATAAGACCATTGTGATAACATTGTTTGGGGGGATATGCTGTTTATTCCATCTGTGGAGCCGCCCATGGAGTACTGGTTTAAGTATTTTACTTCTGTGCTAGGACCCATGTTCACATCCTCATTGCTGCAGGAAGGGCATCTGGCATAAAAACATTGCTAAGTCTGATGACCAAATCATGTGACTTGCTTCGGTGGACCTTGAATAAAGAAAAAGCAAATAAACAGTTCATTCCATATTTTGTTTAAATCACCTCACTTCCATCATGTAGTGCAGGTAAAATTAATGACTTTTGTTATAGATGCAGATGCAGCATTGATGGGGTAATTCCAGAGACTTGGATTGTGCAGCTTAATGATCCTGCCACATTCAGGGACAGACAAATGATTTGCCCTCGTCACTAGGGGACCAAAAGAAAATGGGCTTAAATGTTTGATCAACAGCCTCTTTGAGTTTTATTGGCTATAAAAACTGCCAACCATAAGTTTTGCTCTGATTTTAAAATTGTATAATTTTCCTTTTTATCTCCAGGGACATCAAACGTATTGGAGTCTGTTTGATTGGCCACCAGAGGAGAATCATAAGCAGCATACAGTCTCTCCGTCTCCAACTTCACCACATTCATCAGAGTGGATTTCAAGTTTGAGACCATTCCGTAAAGCCAGAATGTGTTTTTACACACTCAGCCTCTGCTCTGCATCATAATTCGACTAATTGCACAAACACCGGACTGTTAGGTGTTGCCAGTACCATGTGCTGCTCATAAGGGAGGGGTCTTGATAGAAGAATAGTGGCTGTCCAGATATCCATCCATCATCCTAAGTATCATATTTCAGACAGCTTCCACAACAGCCAACCTCTGTTAGCATTGGGCAAATGGGATATTTTTATTATCTCAGCAAGTACTAGCATCACTTGAATTTAGGACTTCATGTCTCTAGTGTCTATTCAAGTGTTCACCAATACCTCTTATCTTTCCAAGTGACAATCCAATGGTTTCTATTGACTTTGAAAGGTGTCAAGTCAGTTACCTCATGACCACAGAAGATGAGGAGAGCATATACCATCTGGAGGCGTATGAGAAAATGTGTGGTTCTAAGATTTTCAACTGATTTAAAACAGCAAGTCCAAACAAGATTTCTAAACTGAAGACCACTGAATGTCAAGAGATTTTTTTTTTTAGAAACTGTATGTTCTCTCCTCATGATAATGCAGTATGTCTTGTACAACAAGTCTTGTGAAAGTTGTATGTTTTATTCTATATGTTTCTTCCTTAATAAACAACTATATTTTAATTCTTTTTTTTCTCCAAACCTTACGGAAAACTGTTTTGTCAAAGCCTTTTTGAAGATAATGCTCAACAATAAACAAAAGGTTTCAAAAACCTTCAACAAGATCCTCATACTGCTCATTTAATGGTTCCCTGGGCATGAAGACCTACAAAGTAAGTTTGTGTTTGATAATGTGCAATAATTTTACTAATCTTCTTTAATGCTTTGCTTTCTTTTTAACCAGAAATATGATGCAATGTGCTGGGGTGATGTCAGATTCAAGAACTTTGTAAGGATGTGATGATTTACACCTTAAGCAAGCCATTTACAAATTAAATAAAAGAAAAGTTATTTTGAAATGAATTTTTCTGTCCATAAAACAACATTTACAGAGTTTTCAAAGGTTAATAAGACTTTCTACAAAATACATGTAGTATGAGTTATGATTCATGAATAAATAAAACCTTATTATTTCTATCTATCATTTTGATGGAAGCTTTTAAAAACTTTTCAACACACTACCACAATGCAGAGCCATCTGCTACAAACACACCTGTATGTTAAGCCATGGCAGCAGAGCAGACCCCTCTTTGCCTGACAACAGATTAACCAATCACGGTAGATTGCTCTCGGGATGTCCCAAATTTCCGACATTCCAGAGAGAACGTGAACGTTCCTTTGGTTGCCCCGGTGATCCAATGGCAGACTGCACAGGCAGTACAGTGGTCTCCCAGCAACGCAGTGTAAATACTTAGTTACTGCTCTTGTCCTGGGAGGATAAACGAGCATGAAAAGAGTTAACAGAAACATAGGTCTAATACCGGTTACCTAATATATATATACTGAGACTGCATTTGTTGCACCATCGTAGCAACACGGCACGACAGAATTACAGGTAAATTACAGCTCTACTTAACAGTCTACGATAGGATAATACGCGCTAACGTTAGCGATATCGTGGCTAGGCTAACCACTGCGCTGTTAACAACAAGAACGGCACAAATACGTTTTGTTTTTTTATTTTTAAAATTGTATTGCATACAGATAAGAAAGGGGCAAAGGAAGATCGGTGTGTTTTAGTATTTTCCTTTAAAACAACTTAGAGCAGTTAACTTTAACATAGCTAAAGGTTAGCATTGGCTTGCTAGCGACGAGCAGCAGCAAGAGATTAAATAGCTGCTAGCGTGTAATAAATGCTTTCAAATCTGTTAAGAACCAACAATCACCTGTGCCTAATGCGCTCGTATGTCCTATTCGAGATAAAAATCACAATTTTAATTAGTTTTGAATACGATTATAAGATAAATTATACGTTTATATTTGATGCAAGAAGAACTTTAAACAGGGTTTCTATCTAAGACAAATGATTAGTTTACTGGAGACACGAATTGCTATTTAAAACATTGTTTATTAGACAGTTGTATAGTATTTATTTATGTAAAATATTTTTATGTATGTATAAAATAGCTATTTTTGCACCGCTGTTTATCAAGAGGTGTCCAAGCAGTAAGCAGTTCGATATTTAAAATAGCTAAATGTAATTCTTGAAGTAAGGAATTGTGATTTTTTTTAAGACATATAGGTTACAGATATATTTCTATTTGTTTTTCTTAAAAGAGATCCTAACTGTAAAAAAATGCTGCTAAATCATACTCTGATTTAGAATACACTGGGCCATTCTTTATAAAAGTCAGAGGAATAATGTCTTTCCTCCAAACTTTTTAGCCAGTTTGATATTGTATAATGACTGTGATTCACAATCTGAAGCACTTAACTCACTTTAACTCACTACACATTCATTTTATCAGAGAAGAGGGAATAGTGGTAACGCTTTCTTTTACAGTACATCAATAACCATGTAATAATATGGTAATAAGAAAGAAAATCACACTATATTACTTGGTAACAAGAAAAAGTTAATTTGGTAATAACCCCAAAATTAAGGTGAATATGCAGGTAAATTACCTGCATGTAATTATTTCAATTGTATGTTAAATAACAATGGAGACTTTTGGTGGTTAATCACCATTAGGTTACCACGTAAGTTTCTATTTTTGACCACCACCTACCATCAGCTCACAAAGGGAAATGTAAATTGTGATCAAGTTAATAAAGCATAATATAACTGAACTTAAGCTACATATAAATAAGGGTTTAGTTAAGAAGATGGCTTGCTGTCTTCTAGGTTTGGTTTTCTGTTGTATGCTAAGTAATAAACTAGATTTTACTAGATAATAACACATTAACTTGTTGCTGTCGATGAAATGACTGAGTAACCTGTTAATAACGGTTTGACATCCAAGAAGTCTGACTTAACCTTGTTTGCTTACAATTTGAAGCACAACACTTACCAAAATTCTCCATAAAGTGTTTCTTGTTACCTAGTAATATAGTATCACTTGCTATGTTATTAACATTGTATTACATGCTTATTGATGTACTGTAAAAGACAGTTTTACGGGAGTAGTTTTGTTGGAATCCAAAAATTGGACAAGGGGCTTAAGCCTGTTGCCTACAGACTCAGGGCTGGGTTTTGGTGTGTGTGTGTGTATTTAGTTTTATGGCTGAGTAAATGTGGCTCTATAAAGAGCTTTGAGTGGTCACTATGAGCAGTAAAGTACTATACTTATTCAGTCAATTTACTATAATTTAGAATAAAGCTGTTGCATGTGATTATTCCAGTTGGAAAGCTACTATAATACGTACATTGGCCTTTTATCCACTTTCTTCTAGCACTTAATATATTTGGCCTATTAGATAGACTTAACCAGCTCACATCTTTTTGAATTTTAGTATCACAGACACTGACTAGAGGGAGGGCACATAACAAAAAAAGTAAAAAAGTGAGTGAGAGAAATCCAGCTTTATCAAATCCAATAACGCCATTTATCGGATCTGAGAAAGTGTGATCAACATTTGCTTATTTTAGATTTGTTTTCTCTACTTTACCTCTTTTAATTGTTTTATTATTTCTATTTACAAACCTTAATTTTTTTTCTTTGAAGATCAGGCACACATCTGATGTTTGCTGGCTAGCCAATGGGACTATTTGACAAGTTGGTTGGATGGCTGAGGTTAAAGAAGGAGGTAAATGTGCTGTGCCTCGGTCTGGACAACAGTGGAAAAACCACCATCATCAACAAGCTCAAGCCATCCAATGTAAGTTTCTTTGTTGACCCGTTGATATGCATGATTTAGTGACGTATGTTGTCCATGTTCATTCACTGGTTTTGAATTTGCAGTCCTGTGATTACACTGCATTATTTCCACCAAAATTATCTGAAAAAAACTGTTCTCTTTAATGACATTGAAATACATTTCCTCCCTTAAAGCTTCTCCTAAATAAAAAAAATTGTTTTATTTTAGGCCCAGGTACAAGACATTGTTCCAACAATTGGCTTCAATATAGAGAAGTTCAAGACGTCCAGGTAGATGCATAATGCCACTTGATAAAACGTTCAATGCTACTTTATTATATTATAAACTTATTCCAATTTGATATTTTCTGCTACTAAATAAAATGGCATGTACTCTATTTAACAAATCACAGCCTTTTAATAAAAAGTAATTAAAAGAAAAATCATTCTGTTTTTCAGTCTCTCATTTACCGTATTTGATATGTCTGGTCAAGGCAGATACAGGAATCTTTGGGAGCATTACTACAAGTGAGTGCTCACATACAGATTCATTTCTTTTTCTTTCCCCATTTTCTGTGATCTATATTTTAACCCTGTTACTCTCCTTTCAGGGAAGGGCAAGCAATCATATTCGTCATTGATAGTGCAGACAAGCTAAGAATGGTTGTGGCCAAAGAAGAATTGGATAATTTATTAAATCATCCAGGTAAAATCTGGTTTCTGACTTGTTGTGCCTCCCGAGGTTCTTGTGCGGTGGTCAGTCTAGACTACACAAGCACGAGAACAGATTTGGCTTATTATTTTATTAAAAGACACAAACATCCATGACTTCTAATACTTTTAATGATGTTTTTAGTGTGTGGAGAAAAAAAAGTCATGCATGAGTATGTTTAAATGAGGTTTGCATTGTAAACCACTCTTCAGAACCCGTATTAGACATTGCATTGGTGTAAACAAGATTATTATTATTATTATTATTTTTTTTTTACAGTGTCCTGTCTGGCAATGTGGCAATAAGAATAATTGTCTTGATGCCAAAAAGAGCCCAACAGATTTTACTTTCACAAGTGTAGCAGTATGGCATCTCAACTGGTGTAAACAAGATTAATACATTTCTTTTGTTTAAACTCTGCTCCCCCATCTTGCTGCAGATATCAAACACAGGAGGATCCCCATCCTCTTCTTTGCTAACAAGATGGACGTTAGAGATGCGCTGTCTTCTGTCAAGGTCTCACAGCTACTCTGTTTGGAGAACATCAAAGACAAACCCTGGCACATCTGGTATGAACATATTTAAACAATCCAAAATGTCATAATTCTTAAACGGTTAATAAGACAAGCATTAAATCCCAGTCATTGGAGAAAGCATGTCATAGATATTGATAATGTTGCTTTGGATAGTTTGTTAAGTGCTTTTCTGAGTGGTTTTGCTGAGTTGTCTGGGTAATTTTTAGAACAAATTTGTTGATGTTTTCCAGTGCCACTGATGCTATCAAAGGAGAAGGTTTACAAGAAGGAGTCGACTGGTTACAAGGTATGGGACTTGATATTCACAAATGAAAGTGTGCAGACTATAGCGCAGAGTGTTTGGGCCAAGTTTCCACTAATATTCCCTATGAATTCATTGATGATTAAAAATGGTAAAGCTGGTTTAGGTGATGATCATGTATGATATCCTTGGGAGAAATAAGTTGGTGAGGGTTTTAAAGGAGTTTGATCAGATGGCACAGAAGCTCCAGTGCTTTAGATAATAGTTAACATTTTTTCATGTGTCTCTAAATGTCAAGTAAAGCATTTCTGTCTCAAAGCTGATTTTCACACGTGACAACAAGGATTTAGAAAGTTGCTTTTATTTATTTGGATACTTAATACCCCAATCTGCTAAAATCCCCTAAGCAGCTGTCCTTATACCTAATTAACCCAGTGCTGCTGTTCATGCGTGTTATCTGGTGTAACAGCAGCTGTTCAGATCAGTTCCATACCTGCTCTGAAAAAAGATACTTTGAATCAACTTTTAAAAATCGCTGCAATTTGTTACACTTACATTTATTACTTTTTCTCAAATTTAATTCATGAGATGGCTGAAAAGTATAAATTTTGATTAATTAGAAATATGTTTGTTACCTTCAGACAAAGAAAGAATGCATTTATACAAACTAAAACTATAACTTGTAACAGATCAAAAACGATTTTTTTTTTTTATAAATTCATATTTTAATTTGGAAAAAATATTTTTTTTACCATTACATAAAAGTATAAATTTACTTTGGAACAAAATAGTGACAAACATTTAAAATTGTATTTCTTTGGTCCGACTATATTTATTGACCACAGACACAGGATTTATAAACATTATACCTTAGAGCTGGACTTTTAGTTTATGAAATTAACTTTGTAGTTATATCCTGTTGTTGGTTTTGAAACAACCTAAAGAACCTGAAATACGTCAGAGTTCTTAAAATCAACTGCAAATATTATCTGAGACATTTCACTGAATGACTACAATGTCTCCTGCTGTATCATACAAATAAATAGCTGGGAAATTATATATTGTGATTTCTTGATATTTTTTTTTATGTCACAGTGGACATGCTCCTGCAATGACAATTTCTGACCCCTTCATGATTTCTAAGTGGGAGAACTTGCTAAACAGTAGTTCAAATACTTATTTGCAGCTGTGTCATACAAATAAATAATAAAAAATATATATATTGTGATTTCTTGATATTTTTTTTATGTCACAATGGACATGCTCCTGCAATGACAGACCTCTGTTTAAAGTGGCAGATTGAGGGGTTGGAATGGCTGTGGGTTAAGAACAGATATAACATTGAGAAGTTGTTTTAAACTTAAAATTCAAGTAATTTTTACCCAATTCAAGTTTATCAGTTTATTATAAGTTGAATTAGTGTCTTTTTTGGCCTTTTTTTTACCTGCTACACAATCCTAATATAAAGGTATTTTAAGATTAACGACTTTTTTTTTTTTTATATATATACAAGACATATTCATGTAAATAATATTTATTAAATTATCCAAGAATGTCAGTTTCTTTTTCTTCTATGTTTTTTTTTGCCTTCATTCATATTCTCCCATAGATCAAATTATGCAGTGAGTACTTATCTTGTTTTTTAAATGCTGTTAATGATTTTGTTGAGCTTTAGTTGTTTAAGACTTAGAAGTTGTAGCCTTAACCGTGTTTTTGTATCGTGAGTAGGTGAGTTTACATGATGCCACCTTTTCAGTGTTTTCCAGTGTGTGAATTCCTATGGGCCGGATCTATCAAAGGTTTGCGTGTATAAAAACGTGAGCTATTTTACTGCGCACGCTAAAAAATGTACAAACTGATCTATCAACAGCGTGCTAAAAGGATTTGGTCTTT